TGGATGCAATCGTCACCGGAATTGCGGCCTTGAGGTGTAGTAAGTTGAGGGTCAGTAACATGGAGTCAGCAGGCCTCAATAGAGGCCTGTAACATGAAAACAGCAACAGGCCTGCAATCTAGTGAGCAAGACTTTGGTTCAGTAACACAGCAACACAGGGGCCAAGAAAGAGACCCTAGTGATAACTGTGTGATCGGGTTAGTTAGCACATAGGGAGGCACCAGGTACAGACTGTAAGCCAAATGGGAGTAACAGAACATCTTAGTAAGGAATGTCTCGGTACAAAGACTCCCATGGATCTATGCACATACCGATCTGGATTCAGGACTGGGTCAAAATTGAGAGGATGAAGGATAGAAGCCCCCCTTCCATAAGGTGAGGGGTGGTAACTAGGCAACAGAGAGTGGCAACCTAGTACGTAAAGAAGTGATATAAGTTGTACCTGTACATAAAAGGACACCGCAGAGGGTATGCTCCAACCAATGTTGGGTGTGTGTGTATACTAGGCACCTGAAAAAGCAGGTGTCATTGCCAAGACTTACTGAATGCACAGTGGCTTAACTGAGGCTTACCGCTGTTAGTATCTTTTATTTGGTAGTAGGCCTGCTATGTGTTGATATCTTGTCAACGTGGGCCAAGTGGGCAGTGGTGTAACATTGAGAATTTCTGCTACCAGCTGTCAGAGCATCGCATCTGACAATAAAACTGCTTGATTGATTTCAAACCTTACCTGAATCTGTCGTTTCCAAGGGCTCTCAGAGATCTCCTGTGTTGGCCCAAGTGCACGGGGTCTAACACTTTAGGTAAAAGGAGCACTGATATTGATGCATGCAACCGAGAGTTTATCATCACCAACGGAGTAGAGGTCCTGTCAGGAGCACGCCGGCACAACCCCCAAAATCCTGACCAGATGACACTGAGACACTGGCAGTCCAGAACACTGGCAGTACAACATGGGGTTCCCCAATACGGGATTCCACATCTTTTGAAACTCCAGCTTGTACCACAGGTGGGAGGTGGGCACATTCTTCCCCCACCGGGAATTTGTGGTTCGGGAAGAGCAGATGCCATTATGCATCGTGGGGGATGCGGCCTACCTTCTCATGCCATGGCTCCTCAAGCCTTACACCAGAAACCTGGACCCCAGCAGGGAACAATTTAATTCCCACCTGAACCGGGCCAGGAACCAGGTGGAGTGCGCCTTCGGTTGTCTCAAGGTGCTTCTGTTGCCTGCTCGCTCTCCTTGACGTGGGGAATCACAACATTGCCGAGGTGGTCGTGGCATGTTGTGTCCTCAACAACATTGTGGAGAGGAAGAGGAAGGTCTTCCTCTCGGGCTGGGGGACAGACGCCAGCTGTGAGGGTTGTGCGTTTGAGCAGCCCCGGGCAGCTGCCATCTGGCAGCCCCACCATGCTGGGGTGTGCATCCGGGGGGCCCTGAGAGAGAGGTTCTCGCAAGCACCCCAGTAAGTATCCCCAGGGTCTCCTACCAAGGGGCCCCTGCCTTGCAGCCACATCCTTTCCCCACCACAACCTCTCCCCTCCCTTCCCC